GTATATTTGGCAGAGCTGTAAAATGATTGAATCAATAGGATCAGCATTCACTCGACATTCTTTTCAAAATTATGATTGTTTGTTTGTATAAAAAAAGCCTCATTCCTGAGTGGCTTAAAATGCTTGAAAACAAATAAACTGTGTTGTGTTTTTGAATGGTAGATTGACATTCAGTATGGAATGTGAATGTAACAGAAGCATTCGCACACACACATGATTGTATATTTAAAATGAATGCACACGTTTTTACCATTCAGTACTAATACTTTTTTCCCAGGGTTGATATATTTTATACTTTAAAGTTTAAACATATCTGGAATTGAAAAAATACATATATGTATACGTATGTATGTATTTCAACGCGTATGTATAGACGTTTTCTGACATTAACCCATGGCTAATGACTGGGGCGAAATCAGTCCAAACAAACATCGCAACCGTCGAGCACAAAGGACACATCTTGATACATACATTTACATATATTAGATTCGAAACTAGTGAACTGTATATAGAAATATAAAACAATGTCAATAGAATTGAGTTTTTAAAACTCTTGCTTGAAAAAACTTAAGAATTTCATTACCGGCATCTGTCCCTTCGTATTATAGAACTATAAAAGGTCTATTCTGCACGTAACCGAAGATTTTGTAACCGGAAAATTTTATTACCAAAAAATGTTACCTGTTCATGTCACCGCGATTCTAGGAACGTTGGTAATGCTATATATTCAGCAATTCAGCCATGAAGAATTGTGAAAATTCTGGCATTGCATATTTCACGGGGCGGGGCAATATTTTGTTACCAGCTTATGAGATGGTAACAAAATTTATTTAAATTTATATGATTTTTTTTCTATTAATTTTTTTCTTCAGTTTTCAAATTTGAAAACTTTCAAAACGAAATTTTATAAGGGTTCTTGTTTTCTTTAAAGAGGGGTTGAGGAGTTACATTGTAAAATTTTTTTTATTAATTATTAATTAAAAGGTGTACTATTTAAACATATTTACTACGCACTTCTGCAGTAGGGTACTATAACTTTTCTCACGTAACGGATATTTGGAACACCTAAAATCGAGATAAATATATACTACATTTATGTACATATGTATGTATATACCGTAAATGCCCAGAATAAAAAGAGAAGTTGATTAGTCCATCTCCGTCTGTCTGTCTGTCCGTTTGTTTGTGTACACGATAACTCTAGGAAAAGTTGCGATATCGGAAGAAAATTCGGTACGCGGGTTTCCCTTTATGCAGGGCAGAAGCGTATTGAAAATACAAAAATTAAACAATAACCTGGTAATTTCGAAAAATTCAAAAAATTCAATATTTCCTTAATTACAGAAAACAAATTGCTAAAAAACTCACATGTTTATTATTATACATTTTTGAAAAATGGGACATATTTCTAACTTTTGAAATCAATTTGCTCAAAACATACATTTAGAATAAGATTTTAAGAAATAATTACACCCGAGCGCATTTGTGCACATGGGTATTATAACTTTGTTCGCATAGCGGTTGTTTGTTGTCTAGCCCTTCAGGTTAATAAAGATTGTAGAAAACGATTTTTGCTTGTGTGGGGTCCCGTTTGATACCCAAAATTGGGAGGAACTGATTTTTTCAAATTGCAAATCCTAATAAATAAATTATTTCTAAAATAGGTTACAGCAGACAATATTTAATCATTTTTTATTAATATACCGACACCTGATTGGAAGATCGACCTATCTCGGCAGCCAATTCAAAAACGCCCTAACTCAGAAAACTTTTTATGAAAGTCCTATTTCAGAATTTGGTTGAAGAACGCCCTATCTCAAATGAAAATATATTGAAAATTTGCCGAGATAGGGCGTTTTTGAACCGCATTCTGAGATAGGGCGTTCTTCAACAAAATTCTGAAATAGGGTGTTCTAGAACAGTTTTTTGAGATAGGGAGTTTTCGAACTGGCTGCCGAGATAGGTCGATCTTCCACTTAGGTGTCGATACGTAGTTTTGATGTTAACAAACAAGCCAAAACTTGGGTTAAAAAGTGTGCTCAATGAAATGGGTATAAATTCTTAAAGGGTGGGCTTTCCAAAACGGAACCAATCGAAATTTCAGCGAAAGTATAAGGAATTTCGTCATGAAACTTGGTGAGGATGTTGGGGGAGGCCTCCTCAACATGAATTGTTCACTCTCACAATATAATTGCTAATAGTATTTTAGCAATTTGTTGTTAAATAATGTCCACTATCACCCCCTAATTTTTTTAAAATATGCCACTTATCACTTATATTTTGTGTTACATGTTATATTTTCAATGCTCACATGCGTATTTTATGTTTTTATTATATATAATTCACCAATTAATTAAGTAAAACGCGTTTATAAACTTGTGTTCACGTTTTACCACTTTTCACGAACAAACAGAAATAACAATGGCCGATAGTAAGAGCAAATATGTGCTGCCATACGTTTTAAAAGTAAATACGCCACTATTAAAGGATTTTATTAAAACGCGGCCAACACAAAAAGGAGTTGTGCGTAAAATCGTCATATCGCGCGATTTTATATAAAACACCCAGTAACCATATATTAATATAGTTCCATATATATCGAAAATTTTTAATAAAAAATCGCGCGATTTTTTATTAAAAATTTTCGCCTGCGGCGCGTTATATTCTAAAAATCGATACTTCCATAAATAATGAAAATTTTTAATTAAAAATCGCGCGATTTTTTATTAAAAATTTTCGCCTGCGGCGCTTTATATTCTAAAAATCGATACTTCCATAAATAATGAAAATTTTTAATTAAAAATCGCGCGATTTTTTATTACAAATTTTCGCCTGCGCCGCTTTGTATTCTAAAAATCGATACTTCCATAAATAATGAAAATTTTTAATTAAAAATCGCTGTTCGCAGTGTTCATCCAACTTGACGTTTCTCTTTGTGGAACATTCTACGTCATTCCTCGAACATTCTGCCTATTTCTCCTGCTCGCTTTGTGTTGCCGCAGTATTCGCCACACTGCCCTCCACCTAAGTCTGATCGTCCCGATCAGACACACTTGCCACTCCAACCGCTGCAAGTCTTTCCAAGTGGACCACTTTCATCTTGGTCCTCGGTCTCCCCATTGTCTGGATTTGATGTACTGCGTCCTTCAGCCGTTTGTCAACCTTCAACGGATCTTTCCAGTCAAGTCTTTGCTTGGAGGTAAAGCTTTTCTTCTGCTGCGACATGTACAACCACAGTGCGTTACTGGACATTGCTTCCGGCTTATCTCCGGGAGCGCACCATCTCACATGGTCGTGCTTCTGCCGGCCACTGGTGGTGACCAGACCATGTCTCTTCTCGTGGGCACCCTTTTCGGGTCTATACCGCATCATCTGTCCCTGACACCCTGACTCCCGCCTTCGCGCTGCACTGCCTTTAGTACATCTTGCTACATCCGCATCCTTACGCTGAAGCTTCCGCCGTCGTTTCGTATCTCGCTCTTCCGCCGATGCTAACTTCATTGACCGGACATGTATAATCTCACCCTTGGCTTCCGGCTTAACTGCTCGCTTTTGCCGACCACCTTTTTCAGGACATTTCAAAGCGCGCCTACTGCTACCACAGCCGCTTCCATTTCCGGCCACCGGCGTATCACCATTGCAACGTGGTTCAGTGGCTTTCCTCCTGCCGGAAACACTGCCTGGCTCGCCATGACCACTTCCTTGTTGCGACCTCTTCTTCACTGAGCTAGCGGAACCGTCACGCTTTTCCTGTATCAGTGAACCGCTTCCTTCTCCTGATGAAACCACTCCGTCTCCATCACTG